GAGTTTATTCAGATTATGCTGCAGACAAATTTGTTTTAACTGTTGAAACATAAAAATATGTGTAAAGAATGTTTGCTGCACAGCGTTAATGAACAGATAGAGTTTATAAACTTGAAGTGAAATTTATGCTAGTGAGACCCTATGCAATGAAATTTATGCTTAGGGAAAATTGTTATGTAAATGAAATTTAAATAGTGTAAAAAAATTAAAAGTAAATTAAATTTTTTGTACCAGTACTCAAGTTGAATTATGGTTATTTTATTCGTTTCGCACTGGGGCATAATTGTAAATTTGTATGACTGTAAATTAAGAAGAAGCAAGTATAAAGTTGTCTGAGATTGTCATCAATTATTGATCAAATTTTCAAGAGGACTGAACTCGTTAACTAAAGTAGGCAGCTATTCTTGTTGTGGAGGTAAGTGAAGGACCTTAACAACCAAAGGTCCTTAATAACCAAAGGTGGAAGAAAGTGGATGCAAATTTATGTGGAGCACAAAAATTCAGCTATCTGCACACCTGTATTCTTAAAAGGTTATAGCTGCAGGGCAAAAAATAACAGAATTATGTATAGTATAATTAGTTTAACATAGGAACATAAATCTGCTTTAAAATACTCAGATGTAAACCTTTGCAGCCTCAAATGTCTCAAGGCAAGTGGAATTCAGACACCAACATACAAAATCTCTCTCAACATTATATAGACATACATCTTCATGCTCATACATATAAAAAAAATATGTTTAAAATTGTGATCTTGATGATATCAGGATGTAAAAATTTGGGGGTTTGGATCATGCTACCAAACTATGTCATCGATACTACGCCCTACTAAAGATGCTGAACATAAGGTAAGTGGGCAAAACATTTTGAAGATTTATTGCAGTGGATAAGATACAAAGCCAAAATATCCATATCATAGTGGTCCTTGGATGGATGTGGAGTTTTAGAACCCTGACAGAGTTGTGCTATTTATGTATTTGGTGCTATAGCCAGGTTTCAAACATAAGGTATCGTCACTTGAGCCCAACTACCAATAATTTCAACTAATTAAATTCATTATTATTTTATGTATTAAAAAAACAAAACACTGAAACATCCAAATGGAGGAAACAATATGTATAACATTTTAATAATAGTATGCTGTATAACAATAGCCTGTTAAAAGCAATTAAAAAATACTTTTTGTTTAGGCTCCATTCTTGCAAAGTAAAGTTTGTCATACAGTAGGCCTATTTAATAATATTAATGTGAAAATAATCCTCATCTGCTAACTTATGTGATTTGATTTAATTCTCTGTTGGCCAGGGAGGGGTAGGAGGTTGGTACATGATCCGACGAAGTAGGGGAGAAGTCTCAGGAAGGAAAGGTGATATCAGATAATATTCAATTAACAACTATATGACATAAAAGTATTTAAGTGTGTAAATATCTTTCAATTAATAATATCCTCTGGTGTGATACAGTCACAGGCTTACACACAACACCTTGCAGTACATAGTCACATGCTTTTACACACAATACTTTGCAGCAAATAGTCATTGTCTTATCCACAAAACACTTTGCATTAGACCTACATAGTCACAGGGTTATACTATAGTACTATAGACTATAGGCCTACACTAGTAACTAGTATATTCACAACTTTGCAGCAGTGCCATCTTAAGGATCTCTCTTTTAATAAAGGCATCATGCTTTACGTATTGTTCATTGCTAATGAATACTAAATATTTTGATTTTTAATTTAATTTGATTTAAAAGTCATTGACAGCACTTTTCCCAGTTTTTACCCACGATAACATCAGTATCAGCACATTCCAGAATTAATATTATAAATGCGAATCGCAAGTGGGAATAGAGACTTCTTAAAGGGGAATAACTCACATCAACTAGTTTAACTTCCAGAAATGAATCGAAAAAAATAAAATAAAAAAATAAAATATGGTAAGAATTTGGTGTTTACAATCATGTTTCAATGTTAGACTAAGATGCTAACCTCTGGCAGTATAACCCTAGCTACGTCACTGCTCAGTAGTGAAATTAGTGGAGAAAAGCAGTGCTGTCTTAAAAACCTAATGCATGGCCATGGCTTAGGCTAGGCACACTGCGCACTTGTCCAGGGCCAGGGTCTCACGGCCAGGGTTTCTTTCTGCTATATCGGGGGGGGGGGGGGAGAAAAAATGTCCAACAATAAATCAACTGGAACTGCTGGCACTGCCCCCCCCCCGAAAATCTGAAGTGCCCCCCCCCTCCCCTGGGGGAAATTTCTGAAAGAAACACTACTCACGCCTCTAGTCCTAGTTCTAGGTAGCATCACCTCAATCGCGGCTCCTTAACCTAAGCCCTTTTAAGTTCCTGCATTTGTTTGGGAATTCATGCTAACCTAAGCCGTAGGTTAGGGAAACGTACGCGTCTAGGCCTAGGGGCATTTTGCTGCTAATATTATTAATATTATGCGTCGAATGTTGAAATAATTTGGTAATCAATTTATAATTTATTTTAAAGTTAAAGCGGCAAGACCGTTTATTCTCCAGTTTATTTAAACAAGTTTTTTTATTCTCACATCATTCAATTTTTTAGTACTAGTACTAGTATTATTAGTTTTAGACAAATAATTTTTTGATAAATTATCAATTTGAAAAAATCCATGAATTATTTTCTTGGTGAAGGGTTGAAGGAGGAATAAATCAAAGAGCTTACAAAAGGCAATAAATGTTCTTTATATAGCCTACTATTTAGTATTTATTATTTAAATTAATAAAGTTACAGTAGTCTGAAATTCCAAAAAAGACCTTTTAAGTTCCTGCATTTGTTTGTAAATTTATTAATCATACTGTTTCATTTTCCATCACATAACAATAAATATATTACATCTTTTTATACCATTAAGTCAATTAATTTTTAAAATGAAATATTTTAAATAGGCATACAAAATCTATAGCCATTTTCTACAAGCAGTGTTTTTCTCTTTTTTTGTAACTGTAAATTTTGGGAAGACCTACCTAAGTTTTAAATCAAATCCAAAACTACAATTACCATAAAACAAACTAATAAATTGCCTTTTTAAAAAATTAATGATCAACTGTTTTGAACAAATAAATAGTTTCAAATAAAATTGTGAAACAACATTACTATTAATATGCAACTAAAAATAAAATAAATTATGTAATTCATGCATGGTCAAGGGAACCTAAATTCAACTAGCATCTTTTCTGTTGCTAGCCGGTTAAGCCAAACTAAATTGATGTATGCGCCAAAATGCATCCCATCATTTTGAATTTATCAAAAAATTTTTGGGGAGGGGCTTACTGAAACCTCTCTCCAAATCTTACCCCAGTTTCATTTGGCACCCTTGATCTCTTCTCCCTCCCCAATTAAAGTGACAGTACTTACACATTTTAATCTAAAAAAAAACAAAACAACCTAAGCCATAATGCTTTTCATAACATTACTTGAATAGTAGGCTATAGACAGCCGATCCCATGTAAAGCGATGCCCAGGCCTCACTAGTGAGACAATTTTACAGCCCCTGTATATGTGAAGTATATGGGATTTTATTGTTGAATTAACTACTAAGGGCCTATCAAAAGAGGATTTGGCTGCCCCCTGATATTGCCACCAGGGTTGATTGGCCCCGTTCTTCGCACTCCCTGAGCATATAGAGGGTTTGGGGCCTCAGTGCCATTACTGTTCCCAGGGCCTCCACTGCTGTAAAGATGGCCCTGCTGGGTAGGCCTACATATGTTCATCTATGCCCTCTTTAACTAGCCCTCTGCCCACTGGCACTGCTCCCCACCCCCGAAAGAAACACTGCTCTTGATCATTACATACACAGGTTAATTTTAAGCGTATCTCGATTTTTTAAGTTTCGTTTGGAATGAGACTCAAAATGGAAATTTCCCTATAGTTTCTTGAATATCTATATATTGTTATAGGTCATTATGAGGTTTTAGTATCTATATATTATTATAGGTCGTTATGAGGTTTTAAAACTTTTTAACAAATGTAATCTGTTATACGATTTGGCTCATTAGGAGAACAATAATATTGTCAATATGTAACAAAGGACTGAAAGCACTGTACTAAGACACAAGACAGAAACTAATGATATGATATTTACAATACTCAAATTTATTGATAATTTATATTAATAATTATAATAAAACTACAAAATTTAAAACAAAAATTATGTACAAACTAACAGCATGTGAATATGTCTAGTAATAAAAGATGGTAATCCACAACAAAGTAAAAATATTACTCTACGCAAGTAATTGGAATGGTGAAAATTGTAATCCACACATGCAATGAGAACTGTAAGTAGGCCTATCTCTCTCTCTTTTTTACGCCTTACCCAAAATCTCTCGCTTAAGTCTGTCTGAATCCCAGTTAACTGTCTAAACCGTCCTATTTGTTTTAGTGACAAAATCTTCTAGAATTCGGATGGATGCTTTCTTAATCAAGAACAGCACGTGACACTTGAGAGTTCTGCATCTGATTAGTAAATTTCTGGAAATGGTTAACTAATTAATTAATGCAGCAGAATAAATCTCACATTTATAGGGTGTATCTCGTGTATTCGTAAAGCAATTTAATTTGATATTCATTATATAATTTATATCATTATATATAATACAATATAAGTAAAATGTTGTTCAAAAAAATGTTTTCATAAAATATTTTGCAATTTACCTTCTTTAAAAACAACTCGTCTACACAAATCTCCAGAACCCATCATCAGCATAGATCTTAAAATAGCCAGTTTTATTTATTGTTGATAACTCTGACAAAAACTATGTATGGCTTCATCACTTGTGTTAAGAGTTCACTAATTATTCAATAATGCCATTCTACAGCCCTCATCATTGTTGGTTTATCTTACAGTTCTGAGACAAGAAGAAACTTTCATTTGAAATATTAAAGATGGTGGAGGCGGAGTTAGAGTTCACTAATTATTCAATAATGCCATTCTACAGCCCTCATCATTTTTGGTTTATCTTACAGTTCTGAGACAAGACGAAACTTTCATTTGAAATATTAAAGATGGTGGAGGCGGAGAGCGGCTCCCTCATGTTGGAGAATGAACGGCAAAGACAGCAGTACGAAAAATGTCTTGATGAGATAGCCAATCAGGTGGCCCAGGCCTTGTTGGCGCACAAGGGAGCTATCTTCAAAATGGTTGTCTCTTTACCTCATATGTAGCTCTACGTGTCGATTTAATACATTTATTTCTTATAATATCAATCTATATTTTTCATTAATATTTTTTAACAAATATAAAACTTAATAAATACCATACTTTTTCTGTTCAAGATATTATTGATGTTTCATGACTACAGATAAAAGGAAATTGATTTAACCCATTGATGCCTAATTTGCCTTCCTGCATCAACAATGGAACATAACTCAGTTTTTAAATGTAGAATAGTTATTTAAATTTTTATTAAATTTAAAAATGAAATGTTATAATCAAGATACAAAAATAAGGTTATTAAGAGAAAAACCTTTTAATTATCATATCTGAAGTTGACCATCACGTATTGAACACAAATTTGAAAGCTGTCTGGTGAACTTTTGAGAAAAGTAAATTGTAATTTTTTTGGGCATTTTAAGACATATTAGAACTTGGTATTTGTTGGTTATATATGAAGATTTCTTTCTATCTGACATTTTAAATTTAAGATCATTTGATTCAAGAGGCTTCGTTTCATGAATATTTTTAGTAATTAAAAAAAAAAAAAAAGTATGAAGTCGTTGACCTCTTTGGGCCACATAATTAACTCAACTTTACTTTGGAGAAAGCACACCGCCCTAACTGCCTATGAGCACAACAGCTTTTCAAATATATAAATTCTTGTCAAGAATATGTTGTTTTTTTAGGTATAATCTTTTTATTTTCTTCTAATAGTTAATACAAGAAGAAGCTATGCTTATAAGCCAAGCCTATATGTATAGATTGCTTACAACCGGACTCTTGTCTGAAGTGGACTCTTGTCTTGTCTGAAGTGGACTCTTGTCTTGTCTGAAGTGGACTCTAGTCTGAAGTGGAATCTTGTCTGAAGTGGACTCTTGTCTTGTCTGAAGTGGACTCTTGTCTGAAGTGGACTTGTCTGAAGTGGAATCTTGTCTGAAGTCGACTCTAATCTTGATCATGGGCAAGAATGTACCATGTGAGTTCATCTTAAATTTTTAACATATTTCAATAGAAAATGTCATACATATTTGATGCTGTTTTTTTTAACCTTTAGTAATATCCTGAAATTTTAATTGCTTTTAAATTGTTTTCTAGATTTATCAATAGAATAAACTTAAGCGTTACCCAACTGGATGGCCCATCACCAGCCCCAAGAGTGGAACAACCAGCACCACAATGGAAAGCTACAAAAACAGATCTGCCAGCACCAACCATTGTAATCAAGAGATTAAACAACTCACCAGCCACTGTAAGCTGCAGGGTTTAAAGGGACTATAAATCTTTACCTAAAATAAATTATTTACACTTAAAAAAGAACAAATTTCAAGTGTAAAAATAAAATATAAAAAGTTAAACGTTATTCCTCTATCCAAAACATTTTCATGTAAGCTTCAATTTAAAATTGTATATCCTATAACTTTTGCTGAGCTACTTATAGAATCCCATAATAGTAAAATAAATAATCAAAATTAAGTTATAAACAGACTTAAAAACATGTTACTCTGATCTTAAATTATTGTAATCTTCCTTTTTTTAAACCTGCAGAAGTCTAAATCAGGAAGAACAAGTACATTAGAAGGAATCAATGGATTCTGAGGGACTAAGTACTTCATCAAAGGAGGGCCTCATTGGATTCTGAAAGACTAAGTACATATTGGAGTCAAGATTAGGAGCTCATTGAAACCAAATAATTGCATTCATTACATTTGACAGTGATATTTATATTTAAGTATGATTATTACACCAGTTCAGTGGTTCTCAACATGTAGGTCAGACATCCCAGGGGAATGTGCAACAAAAACCAGAAATTTGAGTGGTTTTTAAATTTTTTTAATGTTTATCTTATATGCAACACCTTTCATTTTAAATTTAAAAAAAAATGAATGTGGGCCTCAACAACATTGCAAAGCTATCCAGGGGTCACTGTCTAAAAAGGCTGAGAACCGACAGCACTAACCATTAATTTAATAAATTGTCGGAATGTTTAAAAAAAATTGTAATCCTCATTTGCATATCACATGACTTTTCATAACTGCCGAGTAAGTATACAGTCTATACAATCTATCTCCTCTGCCAGTCTGATATGGTGGCTCTTAATAACTTGAATGACAATCATTTACAGGTCAAAGAATACTACTTCTGTCGATTTTCTGCCTCTTAGGAAGTTTTGTAAATGGTTGGCTTTCTATTCCACAGCTACCTCTCTTTTATATTGTACAAGCTCTTTTTAGGTTCTTTCGTAGTTTTGTGTTACACTTTCTGCCCATCTTATAACGCTGTCCTGGGAAGTGAGCTTAGTGGTATTCTACAAATATACCCAAGGGGCCTCCGGTAATTATCTGCTTTTAATTCATGCCCTTTTCAACACAGATGTTGTTGCTCTTGATTGACATTTCATTTCTTCATTGCATCGTCTTTGGTCAGAATTTTTCTAGTTCAGCATTATAGGCATTTGGTTTCTAGCTTCCATTTGAATGTGATAGTGGTCTTCCAGCATAGATAATAATCAACACATTGTCACCATCACAATTGTCACACCTCACTTCCTAGGCACGTACACTCTCAATGTTATATGTGTAGATATAGTTTATGATACTATATGTGCAGAAAAAGTAGTTTATATGTGTAGAAAATTTTGTTTTTAGGATATTTTAGGTGCAGAAAAATATTTTATATTATGTAATGTGTTATATATGTAGAAAAATAGTTTCAATTATGTAATAGAAAAATAGTAGAAAAATAGTTTACATTATGTAATGTGTTATATATGTAGTAAATTTTTTTTTTTTTAAATGATTTTAAATGTGCAGAGAAATTGAATACAATGCAAACTTCCTCCTTTTCTCTTTATTGGTTTCTATTCAATACATTTTTATGTATGCATACATTTCTAAGTTGAATGAAATTTCAAAATATTTATATTTTGAATTTTTAAATTAAAAAAAAAACACTTTGTATTAGATAAATTGTTATCTCAGATACGTAAGGCAATTAAAATTGCATGTGTATGTACCAAATTACTATGTTTGATTGCATGTGATGTATGCTATTTAAATCATTTGTGATGTATTCCATTTAAATAATTTGTGATTTATTCCATTTAAATAATTTGTGATTTATTCCATTTAACATGTTATGTGATTTATTCCATTTAACATTTTATGTGATTTATTTCATTTAACATGTTATGTGATTTATTCCATTTAACATGTTATATGATTTATTCCATTTAGCATGTTATGTGATTTATTCCATTTACATGGTATGTGATTTATTCCATTTACATGTGATGTGTTATTCCATTTAACATGTCATGTGATTCATCCCATTTAGCATTATGTGATTTATTCCATTTAACATGTTATGTGATTTATTCCATTTAACATGTTATGTGATTTATTCCATTTAACATGGTATGCTATTTATTCCATTTAACATGCAGATGTGTAACTTTGCAAAGTGTAACTGTACACAGATTTTTTTTTCTTTGCTATTGATAGTGGCCAGTGGTGGTAAGCAAACTGCAATAGCAAGTCCATGTTTTCGAAGTGGCCACCATCAATGCATCACTAGCACATTCTCATTCTGACTGGCACATATTTTGTGTTTATTTCATTCCCTACTTGGCCACACTTCTTTGTGTTGTGTTCACTTTCTCATCTCATCCAGGCTTATATATTTGATATATTTGAATTGTTCCTTAATTTAGTATTTAGTCAATTTAAAATGTGTTTTTGGTTTGACAGCTTCTTTCTTCCAGCAGCCATTGACTAAGACAACCAGCAGGCATTGCATTGGACTTGGGGGTTTGTGTTCATTTATGATTAATTTGAGGCCAAGGCAGGTAAAGCTTGTCTCATAACTGTACATGGGAAAGAATGGGGTAACTGTCAAATGGAAAATAAAGCTAATTTAAAGCATAGACATTTTCTTTGTTCTTATTGTACCCACGTTGTGTTTTTTGGGAAATGGGTTGCCTCCCCTTTTTGGATCGCTTTATCTTTGGTCGCATTCTGATTCTTTCTATGGGGGGTCATCTTCCCCCCTTGTCGCATTTGTGTATTTTTGTTTTTAAGTGTGATGGTATTCGGGCCAAGTTTTTTTTTTTTGCCACCTCAGACTGGCCTCCCCGACCTCCATCCCCCGGAATCATTTGGGTTATGTTTAAAAGGTAGACGATTGTGATAGGTGTTCGTAAATCTACATCATACCAACTTAAATTGCTAATATAAAATACACAATAGCATAAGTATGGGGTATTATATATGACCGCCATATAAAACATGTTTCTGTTCAATATAGTAATATTCAGAATATGTTAATTGCATATAACTTTCTTCTATGTATGCATATAAAGTTAATTAAATATACGTTTGTGTTATCTTTCTTTTTTCCACGCCTTTTTTATTTCCCCTGGTTTTCACCATCACAAAGTTCCAATACTGTGATATCCAATAGAGTCACTTATTTCGAACGAACGAGTTTCATGATATGAAATAGGTCTTATTCACCACAATTGCAGCTTCTTAGCATTAATAGGTTAAAAAGCACAATAAATGGGGAAGTATAATTTGCAAATAAGTAATAAAATGTAGTGGTTAGAAAGATCCATTATTTCAATTAAAAATGTTCTAAAGTGGCAGCAGGAAATCATCTTTTACAATTTTTAAAGTCAAAAAGAGGGTCACGAGCATTATTTACAAAAAAAAAAAAATATCCCCAGATTGTGGTTTACGGTCAAAGGGAGGCTATCGTGTTTTTATTTATAAAAATCTTAAGATTGCAACAGTTATTCCCCATGTAATACTCAATCTTTAAGATCAATTTTCTGTGCCAGGTTATTTCCCTTTGTACGTAAAATAATTTATTCCATATTCTTTTTTCTCGATTACCTCTCTTAGACTACACTTTTTAAAATAACCATTAAATATGAGTTTATAGATTTTTAATGAACCACTATTTAAAACAATGGTAAAAGTTTTAAAAAGGCACAAATTTAATTTAATTAAGCCCTTTTAAAAGTTGGTTTTGAAATCGGGAAAATTTATGGCAATTATATTTTAGCTTTTATTATCTACTACCTGATATTTTGTATTTTTATTTAATAATTTGATAGTTTAAACTTTAAATAACAGTAAAATTTGGATTCAGAAACCTTAAAAAATCTCTTTCTTAAATCATAACATTAATATTAAGAATGTATCAAAACTATAGGGGCATTCATTAAAGCCCTTGTAAAAAAATTGGTTTGATATTTCTTTCATATGCTCAATGACAGCTAATATTATTTGCTCAACTGTATTTATTTGTAATATTCCAACAGTTAACAGTGAGTTTGTGTTGTTTGTCAAGGTTTATCTTCTTATCCCTGATCTCAAACAAGAATTTAATTTTCACAGCTGGTCTTAGCAGCGGGAATGAGCTTCACTCCTTGCTGGATTAGAAAACTTTACATGAATGAATGCAAAAGGTCACCAAAACCAATTTTAAATCAAATGGATTATGTCTTACAATGAAAATTTATACCACTGACTTTAAACTTCTTAAGATAGTGGAGGAGAATGTTTTCTAAGTAGGATCGTAGCATGTGTCTATATATAATTAATTATATATTTTTAAAAGCATGTAAATAATTAATCATCCAAATGTTCTTTTATTTGCTTTTTTTCTTAATTTAGTCTTAAACTTTATAGATTAATGAATGCGGAGCTAACGATATTGAATGCACACAACCGTAACGTAAAAAATAAAATACTTAAAATTCGTACCAAATAAAACAGTTAATAAAGTGAATGAAAAAGATCCAAATCCAAGCCTTATTTGTCCATAAGACTGATCGTTACAACACCCAAAATACCACAACAATTGAGAACAAAGTCAATAAAAACAGACCAAAAAAAATTGATTAGTAATCAAAATATTTTATTATATCATTCATGTCAAACATTCAAGAGAAACATTTGAAAACTCTTTCATTTGTGAATGCCAATTGCCAGTGTAAGTATAGTTACACCACAAACAATGTATTATAGTATATTATGTTGTATCTCTTTATGTCTTAAAATTAACTGTAACAATATCTTCCATTTTTTTGTACACATTCATTATGACAAATAGATTAGATTGTTCACAAATGCTTTTACTAGTTAAAATGACTGTCAAATCAGGAGTTATTGAAACAGTTAAGTAACATAAGAAATTTGGGTTATTTAATAAATTGTATAATATGAGATTTGTGCTCATAAAATAACAAGAAGCAAGATGAGAAAATATTGCACACAGCACCATCTAAAATTAAAATGACATCATGTTGGAGTTTTTCAGATGTTCTCAAACCTAGAAAAATAGGGATAAGCCAGAAATTAAGATACACATATGACATGGTTTACGTTAAATATATGTTAAAATATTTAAGTTTTTATCATGCAGGAATCAATATTTAGCGTTTCAATAATATTTTTAGCATTTTTAAGAAAATGTTTTAAAAATTAAAAAATGTATATAATTCTTTTAAACTGTAGAGAATTAGAATTAAAAATTGAAACTCACATCAGATAATGAAGAGTCATTGGATCTAACAGTGGTTATTAATGGGTCATCCATTGGTCCTAAAACAGTGGTTGTAATGAGTCATCCATCAGATCTAACAGTGGTTGTAATGGGTCATCCATCGGATCTAACAGTGGTTGTTGATTTGTCTTGCATTATTGTAGCTGCTAGGGGTTGTTAATCATGTCATTTATAGTTGAAGCTAGAATTAGGAAACAAATTTAAAAAATTACATTTGAAGATATAAATAATATTTTATAAAAACAGAAACAATATATATATATATATATATATATATATATATATATATATATATATATATAATGTTTCTATTTATATATATATTTTTGAAAATAATATAGTTTTTAATATTTTGTATTATTATAAAAAAATATAAAAAAATACATTTGAATATATAAATAATATTTTATAAAAACAGAAAAAATATATATATATATATATATATATATATATATATATATATATATAATGTTTCTACTTAAATATATATTTTTGAAAATAAAATAGTTTTTAAAATTTGGTATCATTAAAACTGACCTAACATTACCCATTCCTGTCCATTACCAAGCCAAGAACCCATCTCAGATTTGGATATCTGCTGACCAGGCCAAGAGATCACTTCAGACACGGATATCTGTTAACATGTAGCATTCCATTTCCTTCTAGGAATAACTGTTAAAAGAAAAAAGAAAGAATATTTTTTTAAAATATGTTTATTGGAAATAATTGCTACATTTGAAAAGTTGTTAAAATGTTTGGTGGAGCTAATTTGCAGTTAGTGTGGTGTTTTTACTACCAAATGATAATAAGAAATTATGTTTTAATTTAGACCCAATAATTTGTGATGGACAATTGTTGCCATAAAGTTGAGTTAATGATTTGGCCAAATGGATACATATAATTAATTTTTATTTTATTTCATTTTTTTTACAAAAAAATTTAAATTGAAAAATTTCTTTTCGAATCATATGATCAGGAATATTAAATTTTTAATGAATGAAAATAATAAATTAATAAATAACAATTTTAAATAAGTTTTGATATCCCAAGAGTCAAACAGATAATTTTCTGAAACATTTTAACTGTAGCATTAAAATATAAATAGTTGATAGTTCTTATATTATCTAAATGTAAGCACCCA